GAAACAAAACCATTACGCTGCTGAGATTCCCTTTTTGCAAGGGGAATAAAGAGTAACCACGGTCCGTGGGAAGTGTGGTTGAAGATGTTTTAGTTTGGCGGGGTGGGGGGTATCCCAACCAGTTTTCCCTCGATGGTTTCGGGGTGCTGCAGAGCTGGGGTAGGCAGGGATCCCCCACCTCCCAAGCTTTTGCAGGGGGCACAGCAGTCCTGCAAACACCGCTGCTGCATTGCAACCCGTGCCTGCAAGGATTTATGGAGGAGTCCGCCCTGATTTTATATTAAAAAAAAAAAAATCCCTCTTGTGGTCTGAAAGCTCCTTCTTTCGAGCTGTATTCAGCCGCATCCCACTTGTACAGTGGATTTTAAATAGGGAAGTGGCAACTGCAACCCTCCTGGGGAAAGAGGGGGGTTCACCCTTCCATCGGGGACAGGACTGTGTGACCGCTCTCGGAGGTGTAACGCTTGCTTATATGTAATTTCTTCACGTGACCACTGACGAAACCCGCACTGCCACTGTCCCTGCTTCAGAAACTGAGTGCATTTCTGAAGGAGATGTCACTTGGAAGCAGTAGGATAACCTAACATTTGGAACAGCTAGCAAGAGCTAAAAATAAGGAGGAAGAGTCACCATTCAAGATCAAACTTTGGAAAAAGCACAGCACATAACTTCTCTCCTGTAATAGTGTAAGTATTCAAGAGGAATGTACTGGGGTTAAATTATTTCTTCAGATGGAGCTCCAAGACAGTATTTCCCCATATCAAGTATCATTTTGTCAGGGGTAAGTGGTCAAAGATCTCTCTCCCCCAGCCAGACTGAGAACATCTGGAAAGACCGTCTTTAAAGAAATAGGAAAAAGAGAAAAAGAAGCTAAAAAGAAGAGGACTGTCTTCTGATTCACACGAACGTGATGCTGTGGTTCTAGAGGGGCACAGTTCTTTTGAGCAGTCTGCAAATACGCGATAGGCCTGGAGAAACTCCAGATGCAACTGGACGGAGAAAATCTTGCAAGACTGCTTGAAATGAAAGTACGTGAAGACTGCTGAAAGTGAATCCAAACCTGACAAAAGCCAAAAATGTTTCTGCTGTAGCAAGGGACTGAAGATGTTGGGCATGCAGCCTGCAGGAAAGACAAGCTGTGCCGCACTGACATATCACAGAAACTTCACGAACACAGCTACTGAGGGGATGGCATCAAAGAACTGCATGAGAAGGGAGGACTGGTTTAATGCGATGGCATTTTGAAGTCATTCTCCAGCCTAACGCAAAAACTTCATACCCAGGTGTAGCATTCGATTGCTGTGTTGTGAAATGAATTCTGAATAATCAAAGCTGAGTAAGCAACTGAAGAGACAACTGAAATATTTATCTTGTAGGTCAAAAAATGCTACAAGAGTGACTGTGACTCAGTCATCCTGAATTGATAGGAACCAGCAGAAAAGCTTCTAAACTGACCTCTCTTGCAAGGCGAATCAAGTAAATTTAAGGCATGAAAGTCAGATGCATTTCCAAATGTGTGGATAAATATTTTTTTACTATAGCCCTTTTTGGGAGTTTAAAATACCCCATTTTCTCTGCCCCTGAATTTCAGACATACAGTTCCAAGGAACCTATTTGAAAAGCATGACTGCAAGACAGACAAACAGCCGCTCACATGTCCTAACCTGCAACCTCCTACAAAGCTCACCGCCGTTCTACAGCTCACAGACCCCACAGCTCTGCTTCTCCTGCAGCCAGTTAGCATTTAAATAAGTCTGTGTTACTGTGAAAGCTTTCAATAGTAGCATTCCATGGCAGCAAATGGAAGAGGTGGACATCATCTGTAAAGAGATTTTTTAAAATGAATCCTATTCTGAATGAAATCTTATACAACCTAACGTATCGTGCCCAAGACTTAACATTTCTGGTAATTTTTGTGCTGCAGAATTGCACGTGTCTTCAACTGTACTGAGGCTGCAGAACCCAAGCTCGCTCAATAAACAGAGGCTGCAGTTTTTATGCTAACATTTCAAATCCAAGTTGAATTTAAGCATTGTGCTGGGAGTGGAGAAGAGCAGAATGTTTCGTGACTTCTTTGCAGATTTGTTTTTCAAATCTGCTGAATTTGATTATTGGTCACTTAAGGGATACATAGTAGATGGGACAGATCCTTGCCAACAGCTGGCAGAATGGAAAATTGAGGACCTCACTTTCTACTTTTTCCTCATTCTCAAAAAGTGAGGAAAAATTACTTGAAATTTGAAGTAAACATGCTGTTCTCCCTCTGTTCCCGCTATGAGAAATACTTGTTGGTGGGTATGGCATTACAAGGGAAGCACCTCATTGCCCGGTTCATGCACTTTCCTAGACAATTTCTCACGGCTGCTGATTTTGAATGCAATATTCTCAATTTTAACTCTCTCTGTATTCTCACCTTAGCCTTCTGACAGGGCTTTTCTGAATAGTTTATACAAAACTTCACAACACAAGATTTGGTAGACAAGGGCATTGAAAAACTTCTGCAGTTTGCACTCATTTTCTCTTCCAATGTTGCCTTGAGAGTATATGCTGCCTCAGTAACAAATATACAGGCAGAAAAATATTCATGGCACCCACCCATTTGGGCTCACATTTTCCATCATACTTCCTTAACAATTCAGTGAACATCCTTTTTTGTCACTACTACTGTAAGATTTACAGCGTTTGCTCTCTCAGACTTTCCTAAAACATACTGTCTCAGTGCTGTAACCTTTCAATTTAAGAGACCAGGCTTACTATAAAATTGAGTTATCCCTACATCTGTTTCACTTATTTTCTACACATACGGGGCTACATATCTAACAGAAGATGAGAAAACCCCAGCGCAACACAGGTGTGGAGGATCATTCAGTGTCCCCCTTTCTACATTTAAAGAAACGATTCAGAAATTTGTTTCTGCGGAGGCAAAAAATCATAATCTCAAGCTATAGTTTCCTGAAGTTCAAGCCTTTACCCTCCTTTGGCTGTCATGAGAAATAACATTAGTTTGCCAGTACTATGTATTCAGCTATGAATTGGTCAATAAAAAGTTATCACACTACTCATGGTAGTGGCATTTAAAGGAACCACAGATGGTACACAGGCTATCAGCAATTTTATTCAAGTACCCCTCTGCTTCAATACAACTTAACTTGGCAAGCATGTTAATAATGTGAGGACATCTATTTCCCGATTGTTTTACTTCCACATTGTGACGGTCAAAGCAAGGGTAAGACTATGGTTTTGCTGATAAGGCTTCTCTATGCTCAGATTTCTGATCGAGCCACAGAAGGACTTACAGGACTGTCACTGTGATATAAACAGTTGTATTTACAAAAACTCATTAGATGTAGTTTCTCAGGATTACACACATTAACCAAGAAACAAAACAGGACTTTCTGAAAACATCCAAAGGCAAATGCCACAGGCTATTGCACAAACTCCCGAGGAACTCTGGCCGTCTGGGGTGGTCACAGGGACCACTTCACACCTCACAAAAGCAGTGTAGCAGAAAGCAGTGCACCGCTGTAGGACACTTCTCAAAAGGGGAAAACTTGTGCCATCCTCAGCCCTGCTTCTGACAGCAACTCTACTTTTCCACTGGTGTTTCTTATGTAAACTGACCCAACTTGGACACGCTGAGCTTGAAACACACTGGGCAGAAAGGCAATAGTAAGAAACCAAGAAAGTCATAGGAGAAGTAGGTGCAAGACACGGAGCCTCCAGAGGAAAGGAGCTGACTGGAGGATTTCCAGCAAGACAGACAGAAACCCACTGTAACAGAAGCTAGGTTTACATGGTCAAAGGCTGGAGGAGACGTGGTGAGAGGTTAGAAAGGTCAGAGCATACCCCATTGAGACCGTAGAGCAGGCCACAGAAACACTGAGCCTCACCAGCCCATGTCCTCCACCCCCGAGTGTCAATTTGGTGTTGGTTGGTGTCATACACTCTGTTAGGACAGGGACAAAGACACCAGCAGCTATTCTAGTGAATAACAGATGGAAGTAGGAAGTTCTACTCTTCCACACACGCATTTTGGTTTTGAGGGGGTTTTCACATGCATGCCACACAAATATACATGTATCAAGGTAGCAGTTAAGTGGCAAAACCAAGGAGGAAATTCTCTTAATACACTCCCCTTGTGGTGATGAAATCAAAGCTGAACAGTGTGTGCACACATCCTCTATAATACTTCCATCTTATTAAGTGTACAGTATAGATTCAGAGGAAAAATATACTGCTCTCTCTAGAAGTCTTGCTTCCTTCATTGCAGAAGTTGAAGGAGGCATGGGAGACTAGGGTGCTGGGAAGTCAGACACCAATCTTTTAAGCTATGAATTATTCTTCCATGCCTCTAATTTGAGAATCACGGAATATTCACAGCTTACCAAATTACATCAATCAAGATGTGTTTGAACGTAAGTGATCTATAAATGTTATGTATTCTGAAACATGAGGTCTTTTTCACTTGAAAACCAAGACTCTTCAGGTGGAAGGTATCTTTGCCCTACATTTCCCGATTCTCCATCTGCAAAAAGGAGTGCCCTTTCTCACCTTTCACCTCAAAGAGCTGGAAGGAAGGAAGAAGAGAAGGCGGCTACATATGTGAAGGATCTGGCACAAGGAAATTTAACAACACTGTTTTCAAAGCCAAGTACTAATTGCATGCAACAAAGGAAGAAGCGCCAGATTCTTCAAGAATGAGAATCACACATTAATAAATATTGGCTCAGTATGTAAGCACTATTTCCAAGCACGCTGAAAGTGCAATCCTTGGGGGGGGAGACACCTATATAATTAAAAGATGATACATCATTATGCGTGACTGCAAGAGGGGCATAAAGATCATAAAATTCTAAAAAAAGACCAATAAGTGTTTTCAAAAACACGGTTTACATGCAACAACCTTTACAATGGTGACAGAATATATATGTTGACAAGGTTATAACAATGCACATTTTCATGCTGATTCCCAAGGAATAAAAACACTTAAAATTCCATACCTTGATTATTTCCACCAACTGATCCACACCACTGTCACCTGGAAAGATTGGTTGTCCTAGTAACAGTTCAGCCAATACACAGCCTGCTGACCACACATCTAAAAAGGGGAAGTGGAAGACAGGGAAAGGTATCAGTAAAAGGTACGTGTTAGGCCATTAAAACCAGCAGTTTTAAGCTACTTACTTTCTCCTTTGCCATGTTTAATACTGTATATAACACAGCTAAAGAAAACGCAGATACCTGGCATAAAGCAACGGTGGGCACACCGTCTTAGAAGTCAAACCATGAGACAATGAGAACTGGGAAATAATGCTAAACACCATAATAGATTGACATTAAAAGTTACACATGTAGGGAAAAGACCTGAGAACATTCGCCATCTGAAAATTAGTAACTTCCCAAAACCCTGTATTGTTTTTAAGTCACATTGATCACGAACTGTGCATAGGCATCATCTACCACAGCGGCTGATGTTTTTACTGTTTCTGAATGTTGAATAGACTCAATTTTTCATCCATATATTGAAAGCATATACACGCTAGCAGATGAACCACTACTGCAAGTATGACTTGTATCCTGCAGTACATGATGATTAAGGGATCTGGGAGACAGCCTCTCTAACTCAAGTCACGTCAAGACCTAATCTTTACGCCAATTCCATTTGCAAACTTGGCTGGACAACAGAACTGCAAGTCATAGGTCAGGTCAACAGCATCCATCGAAGAAGCCATCAACTAATTTTCATATATAGACCAAAAGCCACAAGTAGCAGCTACTCCCCTACATGAAGAAAATTTTCATAATCTATTACAGGTATATCGTCTTACATATAAATAAGACAATTCGATACTACAACAGCAACTTAAGAATGTATCTAAGTGTACTACAGAATATAACATTCTATTTTTGAAACATAGTTAATTTGAATGAAAAATCTAACGAAGCAAATGCAGTGAACACTGCATAGCAGACGTTTGTGAGAATTTGCTGTAACTGCACACCAAATACTGAAGTTTAAGCTGCTCAACACACTAAAAGTATTGCACCGAGATGCAGAGATAACCATTTCCTAAAAAATAGATTGACTCTAAGGTTTTCCAGAAAGTCACCATTTGTTCCATGTATGTCTGAAACCTTCCACTAAAATCTAACCTCAAACAAGCAAATGGTGCTGGAGCGTGTCCAAAGAAGGGCAACGAGGCTGGTGAAGGGTCTAGAGAACAAGTCTTACAAGGAGTAGCTGAGGGAGCTGGGGGTGCTCAGCCTGGAGAAGAGGAGGCTGAGGGGAGACCTTATCGCTCTCTACAACTGCCTGAAAGGAGGCTGGAGCCAGGTGCGGGTCGGTCTCTTCTCCCAAGTAACAAGTGATAGGACGAGAGGAAACGACCTCAAGTTGCACCAGGGGAGGTTTAGGTTGGATATTAGGAAAAACTTCTTCACCAAAAGGGTAGTCAGGCACTGGCACAGGCTGGCCACGGGCGGGGTTGAGTCCCCATCCCTGGAGGTATTTAAAAGACGGGTAGATGTGGTGCTTAGGGACATGGTTTAGTGGTGGACTTGGCAGTGCTGGGTTAACGGTTGGACTCGATGATCTTAAGGGTCTTTTCCAACCTTAACGATTCTATGATAATCAGTAATGGAAGATCTGTAAAGCCTACAATACTGTAATGCCCAAAAGGGAAAAGAACAAAACCAGTCCCTCTCCACCCATCTTTCTTTGAACTCTCGCCTCCTTTTACAAGCTAACCTTCTCCCATGAAATAAACAGTAGCACCACCATAACTCAAAACCCAGAGAATTTACCTCCTGAGGCCTGTTCCAAACTGAAATAACCCACGCTACGACAGAGATCCTTATTCCCCTACTGTATTTAAAACTCTGCCATTGGGAAGCAGCATACACACAACACTGTTGGTTATGGCTAAAGGTCTGGGTAAGGAAAACGTCTCTGACGGTTCTCTAAACAGTCTGTTATCACAACCACTAGAGACCAAGGCAAAAAAAAAACAACCCTAAAAAACCACATTCAGGAATTCAAGATTGATAACAAAATAATCTACAAGCGAGAACAGACTTTTCCTTCCCCCATTTCTAAATGAAAGAGAAGGGCTACGCAAAAATACTTCCCCCTCTTCTCAAGAAAGGTATGGTTCAGTTGTAACATATAGTAGACAAAAAGCACTGCTCATCACTGCAGCTTTCAAAGTCATTCACCTCTAAGTCGAATGGAGGCATTTTTACATAACGCCTTAGTACAAACATCACATCAGGGTTCATCCTAAAAAGTAACTACTTACAATACAAACAGCAACCAGAAATAATCTGAAGTTTGAGTCTTGAATTCCAACAAGCAAACAAACCAGATTATGCTTTTTGATCTTTTAGTCATATTTAATAAAAGCCGATATGGCCACCAAGGTGCTAAGGTCTCTTTTGGACAACAAATGAAGGCGGCATCACATAAAGAACATTTAATTGCATACGACTGCTAAACAATGTCTCTCTCCGATAGCTCCTGCTGTTGGTCCAAAACATACAACAAAAAGATGATGCAAAGAATCACTTCTTATGTCGTCCCATGCATACTGGGTTTATAGGACATTACACCATGGTTCAACAGATAGCATACATTTCTTCAGCAGTACTGAAGAAACAGATGAAATGCACTAAGCAGCCAAAGTACCGTAACTTCAAAGTCCATTCAAAGGCACCTTAAAGGGGTTTGAAAAAGCTGAGTCCTTTACACTGAGTATGCAAAACAAGTGGTACCTCAAAGCTATAATTGTTATTTACAACTTCAATCCTTATTTTGCACTGAAAAAGAAACAATATATGGGGAGGAAAAGTATTTGACAGAACATACACAAACCCAAAGCTGACATGAGAGTAAGTCAGCATTCACAACTCATTGCCTTTTAAAATTCTGAAACTACACTAGCGTGATTTTTTTCGAATTAGACTGTGGCTTTTTAAAACTGTTTCAAGTAACCTTCTGGTCTGGCTGCTCCTCGAGGTTGGCTTTGTGCTGTTTTGTCCTTTCCCAGCCTCCCTAAATGCCTTTGCACTCCACCAGCCAACTTCAGCCAAGTCTGAAAGGCAGAAGTCTCGAGTCCATGGCAGAAGTTTTGTAAAAGCAGTGGGGAGAGCAGGCGTCGGCGTCGCTGCTGAGGAGAAGCGGGCTCGGTCCCTGCGGGACGCGCTGGGCTTGCCCCCGCCCCGCTAAACTGCGGCTGCAAACAAGCTGAAGGATGTGCGGGTCCTTGCTCAAGCAAGAAGGCCAAGGAGAAACGGCAGAGGATACATGAGAAAGCTGAGGGCATCGCAGCGGGGGAGAGGAGAAAAAGGAAGGATGTAGGTCATGAGGAAATAGCTGGGGAAGTCTGAGGAATACTTGCTGTATTCGTGATGGGTTTAATCCATCAAACACACAACAAATTCATTGGAAACCTATGAAGCTGTTCCTTGTGCAGCGAAATCTTCCAAATCGGGTGATTTAATGTCTTGTTAAAAGTCTATTCAGTTTTCCTTGATTTTACTTGCTAACACTTGAAACACGCACTGAAATAAGCTACAGGCATTCCAAAATCCCCAACTTTTTTCCAGGAGTGCAATTTCACCGACTTCCAAATTAGGACTTGGGCAACGTTCCCCGGGCGAGGAAGTGAACAAACCCTTGAAGCATCCTCAACGAACGCCAGAGAGCGGCGGCTAACTTCAGCAGCTCCAAGCAGGGACGGCACCAAAACACAATTTACATAGGTGTTTATACAAGGCTGGTGAGCAACGTACAATAAGGAAGAAACTGGGAAATTTCAGCTCTGCTGAAACTCGACGGAATTTATGCCATCGACTTTAACAGGACTAAAATTTGGCTCTGGGATAGTTTGCCTTCCCCCCCGCCGCTTTGAATCTGGCATTTTAAAATTTATCTTCCAAATGTGGATGGTAACCTTTTTCATAAGCCTGAAGTAAAGAATGTACTAAATTCTATATAGAAAGACATGTTACTTAAGAGAAGCGATAAGGTAGGCAATACTAGTTTTTGATAGCTCCTTCTCAGACCCTTTTCTGCCACAGCACAGTCACAGCTAACTGTAATAGGTTAATAATCTTTCAGAGTAAGTTTGCGGTGTAACTACCCACTCCCATGGGAGGAGAAGCATTTTATGAACTATTTCTTTTTAATATGTGCCATTTAATTAAGGTGAAATACGACTATCATTCACATCACATAATAAACAAGGTAAGAGAGAACCTTAACAGAAAACAAGAATCAAGTCAACAAATCATCCTTAAGCCAAACTAGTTGGGACAATGTGAAATTTTAGGAGAAAATACTGAAAGCTATTAATTTTAAAGTAGAAGAAAGTAGACACGGCTACTTTCTTCATACCTTCGGTGAAATGTAGTCTAAACAATATGGACAGTAAATGCAACGGCCAGGCAAAAGCAACCTTCAAATAAGTTTACTGAAGATAGCTTTCACGCATTATAATAGTACCTAATGCCCTATCTTTTGTAGAGCACTTAAATACCATTATCACATGAACTACCTGCGCTAATTTAAGCACACAAAAATTCATATACTGCAAAACTTTTCTTAATTTAAGTTTCTATTACTTTATTGATCTTCGCAGTTGTTAGTGGACATTAACTTGTCTAATAATATCATCTGTATAATTCCCTTGCTTTTGAATGCCATTCCAGCATTAGAGAAGGCAAGAAAAGGAAAAATTTCTCGAGTTCAGGAGGAGGCACCAGCAGAACAACCTCTAGCTTTAACCGTACAAGCGGGCAATGGCCATTTCCAGCTCTCTGCGACAGAACACCCTGTCCACGAATTTCATTTTTGTGATCTCAAACTCTGCCTTTCCAAGCTGAGAAGCTGGCCCTCTTCTTCAGGGCATGAGCACCACTCATCGTATTACGCTCCAGCTCCTCTAACTTGTTATTTGGAGGACATGAAGGAAAAAAAAAAAAAAAAAAAGAGGTGAGCCTGCTCTCACACATTTAGTACAAATTAAGAACTTTCCTTTATCTGACACTTTATGGAGTACATATACTTTTCTACTTCCCCCCCCCATCTATTCATCTCTGCCCCTTGATCTTGATGGACTTCTTCCATCTTGGAGGTGACTCAAAATTACTGCTCTGGAAACTCTGGAAACAAACGAGCAGGGAAGCAACCAGGAGTCAGAAAAGCAGCCCTAGGAAGTCGTAAAATCAGCAGCTTCTAGTTGCCAAACGCCAGAGCACAAAGTGCTTTTCGTTGCTGCTTGTTTGGAACACTCTTTGGGATGTCAGAACGCGAGGAAAATTCTGGATTACGGGCACGCATGCTACGTCGGTGCAAGTTTTGCACATCAAGCCACCACAGATCCACAGATTATGGAGACAGAATAAGGCTGAAACCTGAAATGCTTGGAAATCCATGCTTGTTCCAGTACTTGGAACAAAAGCTAAACACAGGTATTTCTATTTTTCTGCAACAAAGAGATGAAACTACAATGACAGGTGATAGAATATTTCAGTAAATTGATGCCCATGCTTATTTTCAGCTTTGGAAGTTGCCATCTGAGATACAGAGGCAAGTACTTTTCACTGTTTGGCAACAGGTTTGGGACACACCTTGTGATGGTTCTTCCCCAGGAAACTCGGAGACAGCCCAACTACACACGCCTCCAGAGGAGCTCCTGCTCCAGACTGCTGAGGTGAAATACGCTCTCCTTCTGTCTTAGTGCTCGCTAGGGAAGTGAATGAATAACTTTGTGATACTTATTTTTGGACACCCCAAGAGAAGCCAGCGATACAGCCACGCAGATCAATCTTTCCCTGCCAGTGGCTATAAATGTTCCCTCTGGAACGCTGTCAATTCCTGCCAGCGCAGTGATGGAGAAAACGCACCGAGACCAGCAGACCCTTATCCAGAAGCATCGCCACGTTCCGGTGAGCTCTCCATTGCCCCATTACCTAACCTAGTAAAAAAACGTGTGTTCTGGGGGTAAAGCTTAACTGCACAGCTTCTTTCTGTAGAAGAGGATCACATGGCAACAGAAATGTCTGCACCCACCCCTGCTCCAGCGCCTATGTTTGTCCCAGGACGTTGTAGGGGAACGTGGGCAGCCATCCCACGGTTTTTCAGCAGGCAGCGGCACCCAGATGACCGGCGCAGCCAGCAGCATGCTGGCAACATGCTCTGGGGTGGCGTAACCCACAGAGACCTGCAAGGAAGAAGCTTCGTCCAAAACACTGTCAAAGGATAGCCGAAGGGCTCGGTTTGCAAAAAAAACGAACTACCTACAAATCAGCTGCAGGAACAAAATGACATGCCATCCCCAGGAAGCCTTAGGGACATGCACGCGCTTGCAGAATTCACAGCCAAAGGTGCACAAAGGCCCGAACCGTACAAGCTATCAAGGCACCCAAGGGACATGAATGCTTGTGAAAAAATTGAAAAAAATCCCTTAAAGTTGTAACACAGGCAGACGACAGAGCTATTATGGGCCTGGATTTGTAGCTATTTGGCAACAGGGATTATTTAAAACTTGAATAGGTCATTTCCCAGGTCATTATTTTAATAATAGTCCGAGGTCTGCTCGATGACACACACAGACGCAGTAACGGCAGTAAATGTGTTTTGATGCTACCCTTACTATCTTATATATTTATATATAGCACTAATGCAGTACTTTACAAAAGTGAACAAACAATACCTCTGGTACCTTTTGGGTTAGAATTTAAGTCATTGATGAAATTTGGCGCTTCGATGAAATAATCGAGATCCTGGAAGTTAAAAGCCAGTTTACAGTTCTGTTGTGGCATCCAGGGTGAAAAGACACATCCTGGAACCAACTTCAGTTTCTGACACACTGAAGAGCAAGTAACATCGCAAGGACAAATTAATGTGTTAAAAGACAACCTAGATGAAGCCGGACAGCCTAATGCAACTCCTGGTTACAGTGCTGAACAAGATGACTACCTACTGAAATGGTCATGATGCAGGTTGGCTGTACTGTCAGTCTTGGGCCACCAGTGTCATTGCCTAGGGTTAAAAAGCACTTCTTGCTCAGAAATACTTCCAATAATTACTATATTGCAGCGTGTCATAATCGTTAAGCCTTGCCGTAATGTTAGCAAACAAAAAACCTCATGAAAACAGCTGGATGCCTCGCAGATAACGTACGGAAGAGTTCTACTTAGAACACTTTTTGGCTTCACATTCTTCTCTGATTTTATTTTTAATGTAGTTTTAACATAGCATATTTAAGCAGAAGAGTGAAGATCCCTACATCACATTTAAGCTCAGTTTTTGTTACCCCCCACTACCCTCATGTGAATTCTTATATAGAGAAAAAGACTATAGCAGGAAAAGACTGTTGGGCTAATAATTCAGAAGAAAACAAGAACTAGAAAACACAAGCATGTCCACATTAAAAAAAAAAGGTTTAAAATGCAGCATTACAATACTAAAGCATCTCATGGTTTCCTGTAGTTTGAGTTATGGATAAATTACTGGTAATTAAATGTTCTTTCCCCTCCCTCTCTTTTAAGAAACCTATCTGGTTGGTATTCAAACGCTGCTGGTTGAGTTTGGACGAGTAATCCTGTGTGAAATAGGGAAGAGTTCTCGCTAAGCACTGCTGCTGCCTATCAAGCAAGAGCTAAGGAATACCATGGTGTTTAACATCATCGCAAAACTAAACCCCTAAAGTTTCTAACATATTGCAGAATACTGGGAAACTGCAAAGTGTATAAAAGCATTTTATTACTTCCCAGCTCCCAAATACAAAGATTTTGTTGATAAGGAAGTGGAGGGAGGAAAGGGTAGGAAGGAAGGAGTATTTGCTGAACTTAATTTCCAAGCTATTCTGTGCAAGTTTCATTTAGATTGATTTGTTCAGAAAAGGGGCTTGGGGCGACAAGGGTTTTTGGGGGGCATGAGAAAGTCTGAACCACAACAATTGAAATTAATGATGTTTTTGGTAAGTGGAAAAATGGAGTCCTCACTTTAAAATGACCAATTTATTAGAACTGTTTTAAAGACCAGCAGATAAGAAAACAAAAAAGGAAAGAGCAACTTTTAAAAAGGTTCTGCCAAAAAGTGCAAGATTAAAGTCATTATACAATTGGAGCAAGAGACATTTCACAGACTTATCTACAAAGCAGTCTCTTCTGGTGACACCTACAATATTTGTTTTATGCAGTTATCCTCTGAAACAAGTTGTCTCGGCACCCTCTGATAACGCAGCTGAGCCAATCTACCAGCTCTCAGCTGGCAAAAAGATGTCAGCCACCATCAGCCTCCTTCCTCTCCCTCACGAGTTCCCGCCACTTTGCTTCTACCTGGGCTCTGCTGCTTATCGGACTACGCAGTAATGTTGATTCAACTCACTAATGTAGCAGAAAGTTAACCTAACCAAAATGAAAGTCTCTTGTCAATTGAAGCCAAATCGGCGTATTAAACAGTAAACCATGAGAGCCAGGGTATCCAAGGGCAAGAAGGAGTAAGGCTAGGGCTGCCATTTTTGGCAGGGGCCAACCATTAAGTAAGTTCTGCCTTTTTATCTTTATTGTGCCCTTACTTTCCCCAGACTTCTTATGGGTCTGCCCTTTTTTTTTTATAGCAGGGGAGATACGCGAGTGTTGCTATAATACATACTGAAGAATAACTAATGGAAAAAAAATGAGCATGAGCAGGTAAGTCTTCAGAAACACTTCTATTTTCAAAGAACTACAGAGTTGAAATGAGCCAGCCAACCAACGAGTTTAATACCAAATAGAAGACACTAACTTTAAACACACTTTAACGGGTTATAAACATATTATGCCAGGACTTGACCGTGATCTCCAAATCCTTTTGAACATACTAAACCTTGCCTAAGCAACTCAAGTCCATAAGCAAGGGAAAGGCTTAGCACAAGAGTGGGAAGCCCGAGAGCCAATTCTCGTCTCTTTAGCACCAGGCTTCAGAAAGGGCCCAGGGAGTACTTGACTAAAAAACTGAAGAAGTTACCCATAACCAGCCAACATATTGCTGTTCATTTTGCTGTTCATTTTTACGATTCCACTGTATGAAAATCTGGCTATTCCCTGTCCTCTGCCAAAACTTCCAGCTTCCCTAACGTTTCCACGACACAGCTACATGCCAGGTATTAGAAAGAAGTCGTCTTCATGGTCAAAATTAATGACTAAAGGACAGCAAAAGTTAACAGAGTAAGTTGAATGAGAAAGACTAGTGTATGCAACATGTTAAAACTGTCAAGAGAGTTTAAAGCCAATCATCAGGCCACATTTTCTCTCCCACTAAAACCACTTTACTAAAAACCAAGTAAATAACTGACAGAAATATTCATGTCTGAATCATAGCATATCAGATGCAGTAGTTGATATTTCTACAATACCCTCTTTACAGTTATTTTAAGTCATCAAATGCTTTTTTGGCTTGAGAGCTCATACCTACTTTGAAACTAAATAGCAACATTACCTGGAGAGCTGGAAAACGTTTTGTTTGAAACCAGATTTCCCCACACACATTAAAAAAAGCCCCTTTCCAAATGCTATTGACACCGAAATCTCAAAGGGCACAGAAATCACAGCAGCCATCTACAAAATCTGTGTATTACGTTAAGAAGTGGTACTTGACCATTTACAATAAAATTCTGTGTCTCGGGATCATATCTGAGATCTCTGGAAACCTATATACTTAACTACAGAATAAAAACACATGCAGCCGGTATAGATTTCAACAAATACACGTACATACCTATACTGGAGGTATAATCGGTGGCTCCAAAGATCAACTCTGGTGCCCTATAGTACCGAGAGCAGATGTATGAGACATTAGGTTCTCCACGAACCAGCTGTTTTGCACTGAAAAGGAAACAAAATAATCTTTCAGTAAAGAATAGTTTTATGATATTGCCGTGCAGACCAACATTAAGCCTTGGCACTCTTCACTCACCCCCAAATCCTAAATGCTGAAGTACCATGTTCTTCTAAGCTGATGCAAGCCACAAATTCAATGATTTACCATGAAATCAGTCCAATCCATCAAGCAGCTACCTTGTACTGGACACAGCAAAGGAAATTCTGACTACAATCTAGGTGATAAATAGGGTCAGATTTTTGGCTGGCAGTTGTCTTTTGCCAGGTACAAAGGTTTGTTTACAAAGAAAAAGAGGACAGAATACAGTTCAGTCAAATGTAGTTACCTTTTAAGGTTCAAAAGCCCTGGATATTCACCAGAACTGAGAGGGTTTGGGGTTTTTTGAGGGTTTTTTTGGGAGGTGGGTGGTGGTGGTGGCGTAGTGGGTTTTTCTGAACTTCCATCAGAATATTCTGGCTTTTTATTGTTTAAGGGAGTGTGGTATGAGGAGACAAAGGAATAAAAAACTTTGCCAGTGTAATCACATGTTAATGGTCTACGATTAACTTGAAGGCTTCATTTACACTGCAAGACATCAGTCACAAAGGATCTAATCTACAGTAACCACTACCTTTGGAAGCATCTAAGAAAACAGAGGAACACGAGAGCACCTTACTTTTGGAACATGAGTCTATGAACATCTTATACTTTTCTTAATTAACACCAAGTGTTAGATGGAAAGGAGCTGGAGGACAAAACTGCCCTTTTAGAAATATGACACTCAACTAAGTAGCACCAAACCCAGCAGAGTGGCTAGCCAGCCAAATCCAACATCCAGCCTTCCAGACACTCCTCTTGGCCTTCAGGGAAGGACATCCACCACCCATTAGTCTGTTTTCTATATAGAAACTACAATTAACAGATTCCCACTGTTAACACAGAGGAATTACCACCATTTAATGCATTGTTACTTTTGAGTGTCAGTGTGATTCCTATTTTGCTCCAACACCGGTGAGGCGGAGCTGAGGAAGAGATTCCCGAGCCACGAGGCATGACGATGCACTGCTTGAATAACCACCCTCTGACATTCCCACTCACTATGCGCAAGCGAATTTAGCAACAGCAGCTTCGGTGACCGCTCACACATATGCCCTAACTATTTTAGTCTGCAAAGTTATAGCACAATCTAAAGACTGAACTTTCCCAGAGAGAAATCTGTCTCCCGTCTCAGTGTGGATTCCCAGAATTTCTGGAGCAGTTTTAAGACGAGGGCTGGACTCTAAAGGTAGAGTCACTTGAATCGATACTGGAAATAAATGTGCCACTGGAACCTAGGATATAGACATCCACTATGTTAGAGCTTCAATTACAAGTGTTGCTTCTGATCTTGAGCCTCTACAGCATTTGAAATATTAAGTAACTTTGTGTACATACAAATAAACTAATAAAGTGTAACGTTAGCCTTTTCAGGTTACTATACCACTGAGCCTGTCCTCTCTTCCCCAAACACATTTCACCCTAACATTTGGTTGTATTTTTCCATGGCACAGTATTATCCCTATGCAATGGCATATTTATTTTATTTTTTGACTACCTGCACAAATAACAGCCTTGAATTTTATTTCGCTCCATATTGATTTGTAGTTTCAAAACTACAAATGAAGACCTTTGGAAGAACATGGAGGGTTTCTCTGCAGAGAATTGCACCCAGGTTCACTTTCACCAGGCTTCAGGCCACAGACGTGCTTACCTTCCAAAGTCGCAGAGTTTTAGAACAGCTGTATCAGGGTCCAGCAAGAGGTTCTGTGGTTTTATATCCCGGTGGCAGATCCCAAAGGAATGGATATAGGCTAAACTCCGGAACAGCTGATACATGTACAACTGGAAGATGGAAACATTGCATAAGGCACGCTTTCCCAGTCAAAACAGGGTAAACAATTCATTTAGCACAAATTCCTATTAGATGAAAACCAGAACCACTCAAAAAAGACCCTACTGAATGCATCTTAGTGCTATGAAGATGGGCAAGGTATTTGCATACCTTCCCCACCACCCTTTGCTACCTACCCACACATACAGCTTAAATTTGTTCATTCGTCCTTCCAAAAAGGACCACAATTCCAAAATAATAATTGTGCCAGCTTTCCAACATCTATAAATGACGGTAGTCATAAAAAACATAGGCAAAATAAAGGTGTTTCAGTTTGCTTTATAAATCAGCCTCTTCATAGAAATGAAGTATTCCAGGTTATGTAAAGGGGAAAAAAAACCCAACACCCCCCTCCCCCCCAAAAAAAACACAACAAAGAAAACCCTTCAGTTGATGAAGTTATTAACAACATATTAAATGTTGCCCAAGGACTATGGTAGTGTCTCAGCCTGTCACTTGAATGAATGTCCCCCGTTTCCCTTGGTGAGGGGACAGACTCATTTTAATTTCAAATCTCTGGACAAAAAGAGTGGGCAGATAAAAAACAACTTTTCAGGATAATTTTATGCAAGGCACAGCAAAAAAGCATGCTGAGGGAGGGTTTGCTCTGCCCTCTGTTCAAGGCTAACCAGCCCCTTAGCGAGGAGGAACACAGCAAGGGGAGGTGTTATCAAGCCAAGAGCTTCACAGGGCAAGATCACAGGGCAAGGGGAGGATGCCCAGCTGCTGGAGCTACCTGCTTTATGGAGAATGAAGAGCTGCTGGACATAATTAGGACTGTATAACATATAGAGTCATAAAGGCATGGGAAGCCCTGTTTCAAGGTTGACAACGCTTTCCTTTTCTGAGTTCATTCTCCATAGTTCACCTTTAATGGTCTGTAAAACCGGGTGCAATTGCTAGATACTGTTATCAGGTCATGTTTGCCTCACTTTCACCACTATCTTTGTCTTTTGCTCTCTCTCTCTCCCTTGTTTTTTGTTTGTTTGGTGGGGAAGGTAGGAGCAGGAAGAGTCGCCTGCGTTTTGGCTCTAGGTCTTTAGTTTTCATATTTGTTTCTCAAAACCACAACTCTGCACAAAGAAGAGGAAACAAACATGTTTTCTGAAGTGCCTGTTCTAGCCACGTTAAGTACGTGTTGTGCAAGCGTATTGCAAAATAATCCAAAAGATTGCTCTAACTTGAGAAGTCAAGTCAACACATGTGGGATTTAGAAAGTATGCCTTTCATCTCCAGACAGCAAACCCAAAATTTCTAAGAATTTCTTACAGCACGTTAGAAGTTACAAATAAAAATTAGCAAAAAGATTGCTAGAAAAGTTCTTTAACAGTTTCTTTGTTACCCAGGGAAAAGCAGCTCTCTGCCTGCCTAGGTATCAATCAGAAGTGAACAAATAGGTATGATCTGGCCTTTGTGTAGCCAAGATGTCTGAAAAATTGCAAAAGCTTTAATGACATCAAGGTAACATGATCCTTTTCAATACAGGATTATGAGAAAGGCTTGCCTTGCCAGAAAAATAAGAACAGTCTTCCAGGCTACCTGGAACGAGAAGTCCCAAGTATCCAGCAAGATGAAAGAGTCGAAGCAGAATTTTCTCTCAAAAGGTAAGTAAGGACAATTTTTTCCCAAATGCCCATAATGAAGCACAATTAGGGGAAGAGTACTGACAAAAGCTATAGAAATAATTTATCAAAAGCTAAGCTAACAAATTTTGGGGAGCATATAACCTGAAGACATGCTCTTCCACCAACAGACCAAAAAGAGTAACCTTGCAGTAGAAATTCTTATTGCTGGCTGATAAGATTCTGTGCTTTCTTAAAAACAGGCACGTGGAGACATGCCATTTACAATTTATGCATACGCAGTTACGCAACAACACTTTGTTACTGGAATAATTACTATTTGTAACTTTCATCATCTTTCAATCAAATTAAAGCTTTTTTTCTTAAGCCCATCCTCATGTTAAAGCATTACACTTTTAAAGAGAAGTCTGGAGAAATTAATACAAATCAGGAATATTTGTTGCTAATTTTCATGTCACCTGGATGCCATGTTAACAAGTTAATGCCATGTGAAAACATGATCGTTCACTAGCGTGTGGACTGTGGGCACAATATATGAAATGGAACTATGAGACCCAGACGGGTCCTATGTTTGCCAAAAAAAATGAGATTTTATTCATTTGAACCACTTTGCAGAAGATGACAAAAGATGCAGACAACTTAAGAGATGTCGTGAGCCTACAACGTGCATACAGATTCTTACCCCACATAGCTCTTCAAGACAAGAGCCACTTGGCTTCCCACAAGGGAAGGGGACAAAAATATGCCTTTCATGCCCACAACAGAAGCGCATGAACTCCTACTCATATGCCAGGGAAGGGGGAAGATAACAGATAAGAGAGCACTATTCTTCCTGACATCCTCTTTCAGTTCCTGACCTTTGTACTATTGTGTCTTCATCATCCCAGGAAACTGAGGCTGCTAATCCGGCTGGTGTCAGTCTCTATCTAAGCTGCTTAACAACCAAAACATTCCCCCCACACTCAGTCTCTCCCACCCATTCCAAGATTTTTGTAAAATGAGAAATCAGGAGTGCTTCCTTTAAGCCTCTCGCCTCTATTCTTCCTTCACCATAACAAATAATCATTTTAATCTTTCTTTTTTCTTCCTTGCCTCAAGATGTATGCGCTCCTAAAAATTTCAGAAAACTAGTTATGTCAGAAAAGAGGTATCCGCAGAGTCTATTCCTATAATATCCTTCTTCATCTAACCACATCTATCAGTTACCTACCTTGACATAAATCATAGGGAGTGTCTGTTTGGCCCGACTATAATGTCTGGCAACTCTGTATACTGTTTCAGGAACATAGTCCAGCACCAAGTTGAGGTACACCTCATCTTTCTGAAAGAGAATAGAGAAGAAGAAAAAAAAAATCAGCAATAGATTTGAAGCATGAAGTACAATTAAAGCATTCAGAGAAGCCAACAGGATGAGAAAGCTGTGGACATTTTAAGTACGTGTCTTTAGTGGTAGTGTGAGCTGCTGCCAAACAGTTTTTCCTTTCAGCTTTGCACTTGTGCACCAATACTTAAGTCAAACTTACATTCAAGGTCACATTAATTAATATGGTCTCCAACATAAGGCATTTTCTGATTATAAATGTGGACAAGAATATAATTGTTCTGCCCATTCAATATTTTCATTAGCAGACATTTCACAGTGACACTTGCATCATTATTTAAAGCAGTCTATTAACCCAGTAGTCCCTTCCCCGCCAAAACCCAAGAAGTGCAAACTTAAAAGTCCCAAACTCACATCCCACAACTACACATCAAAAAAAAAGTTCCTGCATTTTTTAGAAATGTTCCTTTGATCTTACTGAATTTCTAACTATTAAGGGATTAATAATACATATTAACCATTCACACACAGTAGGCTAGTGTTAACATTTGTAACCATTTTGTTTACATACAGTTATCTCCAACTTAAACATATGAACTTATTCATGGCAAAACAGAACAAGACAAAAACAAAGACTTGAGTATTACTTGTAGTATCTAGGATCAGGTTAGAGGTCTGTGTGAATATAACACAGAGAAACAACAAATGGAGAAACAACAAACGTAGCTTTATAATAAGGTGCTTCGTTAGAGAATACATTAGCAAAGGACAGAAGGAACAAAGAGGAATTAAATGACAAAGTACTATAATCACATAGTGCCTAATTGCGGAACTGAGAATTTTCAGCCGTAAAACAGGTCTTAAAAAGACTTCTGATATTTTAATGCAGTCTTCTGTGGAACTCCTATCAAGACTGTGACTACATTTAATGTTGGGGGGTGGGTCTAATTAATTATATCAACCTGAAAAATTATTTTTGAAAGCTAGGTGAATTAACCAGAAGTATCCTCTCCTGCACTTGCTGTGTTAACAGCTGGATCTTTCTATAGAGAAAGATGATGCACAGAGACTTTACGTGGATGGAAACAGCACAGAATGCCCAAGTCTTCAACTGAAGTCCCTTGTCAGCAGGTCCGCTGGCTGCGTATCTGAACACCCAAAACCAAACCTCATTTATCTATAGCAATTTAACAGTATTACTGTGCCTTAACACATCACTCAGAGCACAGAGTGTGGCGAGTTAACTCTCACAGTGCTCCGTTTTCTTTACCGGTCTCCATCCTGCCTCAGCACAGAGCAGCAGTCTGCAATGAGTAACGAAATGGTACGTGGTAACACACACAGAAACACACAACTTGAATACACGATATGCGAAGAACTGCTGCTTTTGTGTGTTATTAAAGACTCGGAATTCAATATCTCTGTTCACCATTATTTGACAATAGATGCTTGTATTTTCAGGACATTTTAATAGCTCTTACTGATACCTCCTAATAGGCCAAGTCACCTTGCAAAGCCCTGCCTACATCACTCTTCCCTACAAAAAAAGATGTTCTTTTTTTAATATCATTGCTGAAATGACAGCAGCAACAGCACCAGCACTAAGCAAATGCCAACGGCCCACTAACTTGTATCTGCTCTTATGGTAATTCTGCAACAGAGATAGAGAGCAGCAGCCTCCCAGACCGTGCCTGCGCTCGTGCCTCTCCCAGTGCCATCCCAGGAACTGGGTACCAAGGTGAAGGAATCTGAGGACCAGGCTGGAGAAAAAAAACTTTTTGAAATGGATAAGGAGGGACACCTACCAGCAGTGCAGAGGGAATACCAGATGGCTCTGGAAGTCCACGGATGTGCAAATGTATGCAAGAAAATGATGTGCTTGTATTTTAGCACTTTCCCTTCTGCAACAAGAGAAGTTCTTCCTTCCCTGACTCTCACTTCAAGCCAATAAAAATCCACCACCACCTCTTCTTACGTCAGAGCCTTCAAGGTATTAATTATAAAATACAGAAAATAAATGTCCTGACAAATCAAAGTTAACTCATGCCTGGTAAGGCAACCTGTACATGAAGAGAAGAAACAGCCTCATGAATATGAATTCTGTTTGATTCGGTGTAGATACAATGTGATGAATATGTTTAATGCTTGCCTCCTCTTGGAGAGTGGGAAAGTCTTACTGGTAGCAAGTCACTGCACAAAGTACCACGTTACTGAGGCTGATTACTTTCATTCAGAGGATTCACATTCCATGTATGAAAAAAAAGGACATGAGCAATTAGAGAGACAGAAAAAAATGAGTAGAAATGGAATTACAGGGATTTCATTATCCTCTCATAGTACAAGTAAAAGGAGACATGTCAACCAGTAAGACCCATCTATAGGTCCCATAGATGCTATGTTTGCCAAACATACCCCACCTACGCTACTTCACAACAGTAAGTTTTGAGAATTACAGAACTCTTTAGTTGACACCACCTTTGTTTTACTTTTCTCTCCTCCATTTTGATTTTTATTTCATGTTCTGTTGGAAGCTACATGGGTTTCGCACGGCATTGCTCCTGTGTAAACACGTATTGCACATTATCACCTAGAAGATGCGAAGGCACAAACGCCTTTCCCCCAACCAACAACCAAGTTTTGATGTACCATTTGATGTACCCGGAACTTTAATATACAACTACAAAGGCAAGGCTTATGGTGTTGGCTATATAAGTAGCAGCACACTCCACTCCTGCCACAAGCAACTGACACTTCAGAAGTGCCCTATATGACTACTTTCATGAATTAAAGATGATTCAAGTGTTCTGACCTACTTCCTCCTGACGTAACCTGGCACAAATCTGATAAACGCTCAGAATTCAGTTTTCAAGAGCCCTCACCCTTCTCTGTGAGCATGAACTGGATGAAAATAACATCCGAGTTACCTGGATTCCCCTGAACAACATTCAGTATGAGCTAGAAAGCAGTCATGGCCCGACAAGCTCTGAGGATGATGTAACCTGGTTTGCCTACCTCATGCATTCCTCCTAAACACATATTTTTCCAGTGACCCAGATGTATTGCAATAGGAAACAGCGTTAGCTCAAAGAGCTTGCCAAATGAGGGCAACTGCTTGAGGATCAAGCGGGAGGATCAAGGCTTATCTTTCCATTACAGGAAGCCTTTTTCAAACCTCGCCACGTATTCCACACGTGACTCGTTTCCACGCTGCTGTTTCAAAATGGCTGGGCTGGGAACCTCCCAAGGTAAATTAACCATCAGGAGCACCTCTGATATGCCTCTACAGAGAAGAGAAAGGTCCAGACGAGACTGCATTGTATAAACGACAGAAAGCAAACACAAAGTGTCATTTAATAACTCACTCCTCTCTACAGACATTGGGATTGAATAGTTTATTAGCTTTCCTCAGCAGGTCAAACGTTTATGTGCATCCCTGTTCTCCTGTGCTTGCTGCTAAGGTTATGACCATGGACTCTTGAAAATGATAAAGGGGGGAAGGGCAGGGAGGCAGATCCTGAAATATCAACGTACTTCATAAGGATTTTGATTTTAGCAATGCGGCTCGTGTACCTGCAATCGCCTCAAGTGTTAGAAGCTGCTTTTTTGTCACTTGGCTGATAAATGCTCAGTTGACAAACACTGCTCTGAAACAAGCCAGAGCAAAATCACCACGGCCTTGCCATTGAACCACTCTGCACCGCTCAAGAACCGACAATTCAGGCACCATTTCACTTTGGCTGGAAACACTTCATGTAAGTAGATACCAATACTGAATATGACATAATAAAAGGCATGAGAAAGACTAGGACATGAAAGCCAAAACATTCCAGCAACTTAGTTTTTTTCTTTGTATCAGAAATTGGAGATAAACCAGGCTGCAAATACAGCTACTCCAGCACATGAGCCTTACGCATTACATGGCTTAAGATGGAGCAAAATTGAAAACGTTACCCTACCGACATAGGAAAGGCTACGTGGAGGTCTCAAATTCCACTTCTGAAACTCTTCTGTCCTTCAGTCCACACAAGTAACCTGTTTTAAGCACCAACTTAACTGTGGCCAGCCTAAAGCAGCAGCTATTGAATTCAAAGATTCACTCTTCTGGATTGTTCCTTGCAGGGAAAGCACAAATGTTCAATCTCTGTGATCCTTCCCCACCTCAACAAACCCCAAATTAATCCTGAGTGGTTTCCACCAGCTTTCATCATTTTTTTTTTTTCATATATCACTCACACTACATTTCCAATGTGCATGCGTAACACTGCAATCAACATTAGTCAGCCACGGTCCAACTGTTGCCCCTATTTACCACCAATACGATGAGGTATTGAGCCAGGGAGGTCATACATGCCGAAGGCCAGACTGAGGGCAAAAGCAAAAATCACAGGGCATACTCTGAAGAATATGTCAGTAAGATGCTAGAAGTTCTCCTGAACTGGAACCTAAGGAAAATTTCTCTAAGCATCAAGTAATAGGATAAAAAGGTTAAGAAACTATTCTGGGTGCTTTTTCTTCTCGGGTGACTAAATTTACTGGTCAGCATTTGGAAAGAATGATGAATAGGCTCATTTTGATTTTCATCTCCTGGCAGATCAGTAACAGTGGTGGTGGTTCTGGTGTGGTTTGCAGGTGGCTTGCTTTCATTCTTTTTTGTTTGTTTGTTTGTTTTTAATCTCAGATCATTTAATTGAGCTAGTTTTCAGACGGACTCCACGTGATCAGCTATATGAGCACAACTGAGAGGAGATGACCAACACAGGAGTTTCTGAAACTCACTTTGCATTTGGTCAGATAAATGTGGAACTACATTCTGAAGAAATGCGCTTTACCTGCCTATTCAAGCTAAAAAGCACACAGATAAGAGATAAACCTAAAATTAAGGAATACGCCTCCAGAATGCACTTATTGCAATTATCCCAAAGCATCAGGACCGGGGCTATACGAGGTAAATAAGCCAGTCAGTTTACTCAAGGAGATCATGTTTTCTTTACCGTGTGACA